GGAGGGGTCATTGTGTGCGCGCATGTGTATGTCTTGGGGTGGGGGGGAAGAGCCAGGGTGACGGGCGCACGCACGTGTGTGTGTGTGTGTGTTGGGGGGCCAAATGTCAGGGTCACACGTGGGTGTGCGTATGTGCATGGGGAGGGCAAGAGCTAGGATCACGTGTGTATGTGTGTGTGTTGGGGACCAAGGGCCAGGGTCACATGTGGGTGTGTGCATGGGGAAGGGGAGAGCTAGGATCGTGTGTGTGTGTGTGTGTGTGTGTGTGTTGGGGACCAAAGGCCAGGGTCACACATGGGTGTGTGTGTGTGCATTGGGAGGGCAGGAGTTAGGGTGTCGTGTGTGTGTGTGTGTGTGTGTGTGTGTGTGTCCTGGGGGGGAAACAGTCATGTGCATGTGGTGGGAGGCCAAATGCCAGGGTCACATGTGAGTGTGTGCACGGGGGGTGGGGGGCAAGAGTTAGGATCATATGTGTGTGTGTGTGTGTGTATTGAGGGGCAAGGGCCAGGGTGACACGTGCGTGTTGGGGGGTTGCCCCCAGGAAGGAGGCAGTGTTTCCCATGTCCCCGGCCCCGGCCCCGGCCGGTCCCCTCCCTGCACCCGGGGCGGGGCTGGAGTGAAGCAGCTCCAGAGGTGCCTGGCAGAGAAGGGCCTCACTGCCTGTCTGCACAGCGCTAGTGGTGCTGAGCATCACGCAGATGCACGCGTGACTCCAGCGCCCACGCGGGGCCCCCGTGCCAGTCTGGCTCCCAGAACCGAGTTTGGAGGGAGGGTCTCGGACCGGGCGCTGCCCTGCGTGTTACCGACCTTCCCAGGCTCCTTCCGCCTCTCCTGTGGGCCCTGCTCCGGCTCCAGGCGTGGGGATGCAAAGGGAGGTGGGGGAGGCCGGCAGCCTGGGGCCGTGCCGGTTTATGGCCGGGCGGTTGCTGGGTGACGGGTGAGGTGACAAGGGCCCCGAGTTCCATGTTCTGAGCTGTCCCAGGGCTGGGCACGGCCTGTCCTCTGCTGGATGGGCACTCCCCTGCCCGCAGCCCCTGAGCATCCCCGCGGGAGCTGCATCCGTGCCACAGCCGCTTCCAGGAGGCAGTGGGATTGCCCTGGGAGAAGTGGGGCTCACGCGCAGGTGCCCCGGGCAGGATCCAATCCTTTCCCCTGCGTGTGCGTAGCAGAGGTGCTGGGCAGCGGGGCTGGCAGTGTCAGCATCCTGTTACAGGGGCTGGAGCCAGCTCCGGGCTGGGTGCGAGCTGCTCCAGAGGGTAGGATTCGTTTCCCCTTTCCTGTGTCGTCTTTCCAGGCTTCTCTCTCCATCATCCGGAGCGGCGCGGCACACGCTAGAGGGCTCCCAATGCTTTCGCAAACCCCACGGACGCTCCTGCCAAACCCCTCCCTGCACCAGCTCCTCTCCCTGCAGCTCCAGGGATGCTGCAAGTGGAGCCCGTTGCTCCTTGTTCTCTCATCTGCCACCAGCCCAGCCCCATCCTCTTTGGGACCACCTGCAGGGAGCTAAAGGCTGCTATTCAACCCCCCCTCGGTCTTCTCTTCTCTAGACTCAATCGGCCCAGTTCCTTCAGCCTCTCTTCACCATTCCTGTCCCCCGGGCCCCAAGCCATTTTCGTTGCCCTCCGTTGGACTCTCCAATTTGTCCACGTTGGAAGCTGTTTGAGTTTTGGGGAAGGGAGGCAGCTGGTTGCTGCAGACAGGACCTAAGAGCCAGGGGTGCTTCACTTGGGCTATGCAAGTCCCTCCTGGCCTGTCTTTTCACAGGCCCAAAGAGGCTGCCGACACGGGGTGCCCCACATGAAACGCAGAGCCTGGACCCAGCTGCAGCTAGCGGGAGTCTTGGGAGATCAGGGCATTCAGAAAGCAGCCCCTGGGATCCCAGCACAGCAGCCAAGA